TGTGGCCAGGCTCACAAGCCTCTTTCGAGTAATTATTGGAAAAAGAGACTATCGATTGGTTTGCTGTTCCGAGCCTGTGGCCAGGCTCTCGAGCCAGTGGTTAGGCTCTCGAGCCTCTCTCGAGTAATTATTGGAAAAAAAGTCTATTGATTGGTTTGTTGTTCCGAGGCTGTGGCCAAGCTTACGAGCCACTCTCGAGTAATTATTGGAAAAAAAACCTATTGATTGGTTTGCTGTTTCGACCCCGTGGCCAGGCTCTCGAACCCCTCTCGAGTAATTATGGGAAAAGACTGAAAAGAGCCTATTGATTGGCTCTTTGTTCCGAGCCTGTGGCCAGACTCTCAAGCTTCTCTCGAGTAAATATTGGAGAAAAGAGCCTATTGATTGGTTTGCTATTCGGAGTCTGTGGTCAGGCTCTGGAGCCACTCTCGAGTAATTATTGGAAAAAAAAGCTATTGACTAGTTTGTTGTTCCGACTCAAAAGAGCCTAGTGATTGACTCTCTGTTCCAAGCCTGTGGCCAGACTCTCAAGCTTCCCTCGAGTAATTATTGGAGAAAAGAGCCTATTGATTGGTTTGCTGTTCCGAGCCTGTGGTCAGGCTCTCGAGCCACTCTCGAGTAATTATTGGAAANAAAGAGCCTATTGATTGGTTTGCTGTTCCGAGCCTGTGGTCAGGCTCTCGAGCCACTCTCGAGTAATTATTGGAAAAGAGCTATTGACTAGTTTGTTGTTCCGAGCCTGGCCAAACTGATCCCAGATCTAGGAAACGACAAATATCCGGTTGAATCCTAATTCCCTTCTCTTCCTCTCAGGACTCGGAGAATGTTGTCTAACAACAGACTTCAAAAGGAAGTGTGACAGACGGGCAGAAACACCCATCACCCCGCTGGTCGCTGAGGACCTCGGAAGCGGGAGCAGCGAGTGAGAGGCGTTGTTCCCCTTGGCTTCAGCGAACGGTGGACGACCCCTCCCCGGGTTTCCTCACACCTTTTCTCCGTTGCCGGGGAGGGGAGCAGCACCCCCAAAGCTGCAGCCTTCCCCAACCAACGGCGGTGCACGGGCTGATTAGTCAAACACTAATTAGCTTGTTTTCTTGATTAGTTATATTTTTTATAATCATTTTATTTAGTTTTTTTGAAATATCTTCCGATCCGCGCGCTTTTGCGCGAGCCGCGTGAGGAGCAAAGTTCGCCCTTTCGTCGAGGCGAACGTTTTGAGACGTTTTTTGGAAAATTCTAACTGCTAGAAAAAAAGATATGGGTTTTTTTGTATTTTTTTAATTAAAAATCCGAAAAATCATGAGTTAAAAATTCTAATTGGTTTTTCCTCGATATCTCCTGATCCGCGCGCTTTCGTGCAAGGCGCATTGGGAGCAAAGTTCGTCCTCTCGTCGAGGCGAACGTTTTGAGACACTTTTTGAGAAATTCGAACGGTTAAAAAACGAGCTATGAATTTTTTGTATTTTTTTATTAAAAATTTCAAAAATTATAATTTTCGTTTTATCGAAATGGTCGGAAAAATAAGCGAAATTAGGGGAACCCCGCCACGGATCAAAGTTGGTCCCTGTATTTTTCCCGACATTTTGAGACTCTAGTCGGGGAAAACGGACTCCGTTTGGACAAACGGCGAGCTCCAACAGATAAAAAAGGGGGAAGAAAATCAACCTGAAATTGAATTTCTTTGTAATTTTGTTTAGATTAAAAAAAAATAAGTTTTTCTTCTAAGGCTAGTGAAAGCTAACAGAAATTTTCTCGCGTCGAGCAGSGCTTTGCGGTGTTCGTGCGGTTGCGCGCAAAACCCAGAACCCTAATTTGGGTGAAGTCCTAACCCCAATTTTGAGAGAAGCGGCTAGATAGAGGGAAGCCATAGCTTCTAGCTTCCGCATTTGTTGCGGATTATTTTTTTTTAGATATATCCCGCAAAATTGTGAAAAATAATTCGGGAAATTTAACTCCATTAAATGATTAAATATTAAATTAAAATAATAGAAATCAATAAAAATTCAAGTAACAAGGGTTTCGACTTTGTTTATTTTTCTCTTTAATTGATSAAGGGATAATCTCCCGAACCCCAACCCAACGGGRGGARRRAAATTGCTGCTAAAATTCTTGTGAATTATTTTAATTTGAATTTTTGTAATTAAAATTAGTAAAATTTAAGATAAATATCTAAAATTGAGTAGGATCGTTGGTTCGACCTATTATTTACTTTTGCTTATCCGAGGGATTTTTTTTCCTGAACCCCATCGCAACGGGGGGGGAGGGAAACTGGTGCGGAATTTTTTTTCGGAATTTTTCTTTAAATTTAAAATTTTCACCAATTAATTAACGAAAATATTTAAAAATCAAGAAAAAATCAAATTTCCCCCCTTTATTTGTACCTTTCGTTATGCCTCCTCCGACAGAGCTGTTTATGGGCTTCGCCAGAACCCCATCCCAACGGGGGGGAGGCGAAGTGCTGTCGAACTCTTGGTATATTCCCTCCTACCCCTAAAAATCTTCAAACTCGGCGGGCTTATATATATATTAATCCTTAATATATATAAATTAAGAAAAAGAATTTATCCTAACTGTATACTTTTTTTAATTTATAATTGGAAAATACAAGAAAATTCCCTAGAGGGGGAAGGGAAAGAAACGCTGCGGTAACCTGGGCTCGGGTGAACCTATTGGCTTGTTCCCGAAGGCCTGAGGCAAGTGACGGGAATTTTCAGTTATAAAAATATTCGGATTAAATCAAAAGCAAAGGGTAGAAGGAAGCACGTGCGTACCTCGCGACTCGCTAGGGTTTTCATTACATCCCCCTATGAGCTGAGCGCGAGGTAGTGCTTTCTTCTCGTTTATAGGCAATTTTTATTAATTTAAACGATGAAAAATACCTTAAAATTGCGAAAAAGGCTTAAAATGTCAAAGAGTGAGTACGCTCGGTTCTTAATTTTGGGTTTTGACTGGGGGACAGGGCCCGTTGCTCGGATACCTACTCGAGGGTGCAGTAAACGGAACTCCCTCGAGTTGAGCCCACGCCTTATATTCGAGGGAACTAGAATATAAGGCCTATAGGCCAATCCGAAACCGGGATTTCAACACCCTTTCCTTTTTACATCAGTCTAGATTAGTACAGCTTCGGTGCGGCTCCGATCCGCAAGGGATTACTCGATCTGCGGAAAGTTTCAGTTAGGCTGTCATCGTGCCTCCTTCCTAATCCCTTCTGTTCGTTTCTCTACCAATGTCTCTTAAAGATCTCTCACATCCCTATTTATGACTATTCTTAGTCTTTCTTTTTGCATACGACAGTATGCTGTTAGAGGTGTTAACCCATCCCACCCACCCAATACAGTTATAAGCGCTTAGGTCCGGCTAAATCATTAGGTCCGTGCTACGACCTGGACAGGGTAACATGAAGAATAGGTCCGGGCTGCCGGACAATATCCATAGGTCTAGGCTGCCTGTCAAATCCATAGGTCTAGGCTATGTGTGAAATCCATAGGTCTAGGCTATGTGTGAAATCCATAGGTCCGGGCTGCCGGACAAACATTAGGTTCGGGCTTCGGTTTCTGACATAGGTCCGGGCTGTGATACAGTGTCTATGGAATCAGACACGATGGGTCCTCAACCGACTGCGGAGCAACCAACTGGCGTGTATCGATCGTCGCCTGACCGCGCCTTGCAGGGTCTCAAGGAGCGCATTAGGCAAAAGGCTCCTCTGAGATGGGCAGAGCACGCTGAAGATGGAGAGCCAGAAGTAGTGTGCGGACCAGACATTACTGAGTTGGATAAGGACACAAAGTCAGAGTCATCCAGTGTCCGACGGGAGATGGCAGAACGACGCTTACCAGAGTATGAGCGTAGAGAGCCTAGAGCTAATATGCACAGAAACGATTGGGGAGACGAGTACGACCGAGAACAGTATTCGAAGAATAGAGACAGGGATAGGGCCCCGCCTAAGCGGGTTTTTAATCCCCAGACTGGTGTGTCATATGTGCTCCCTTATGAGAGCAGAGATCGCTATATTATCTCTCACCTACCCTCCGAACCGCCTACTTTTAGAGGTTATGGTATCACTGAATACCTGGAGAAGTGGGAGCTTCATGCCGGTCGTAGTCAGTGGTCGGAGGAGGAAATTATAGATAACTTCCTATTCAACGTGGACCGAAGTCTTGGCAAGGAAGTTAAAGAAGCCCGACCCAAGGATAGGAAGTGGGCTACGTATAAGACAAATCTTTGCGAGCTCTACAAACTGGAGGATAGCAAATACTCCATCAAGGACCTCGAGACTATGACTCAAGATGAAGACGAGAGCGTACAGGCTTTTGGTAAGCGCTTCCAAAAGATATCTGGTGTGTTGATAGAGAAGGGCAAGTTGTCGGAGGTTGAGCGGTGCACCATTTTCATTGGTCGCCTGCCCATGGGTAAGCAGAAAGCGATACTTAGAGATTTGCCAAATGACAAATTAGATTTCCCTGAAGTCCTTAAACTGGCAATGAAAGCAGGAGCAGACGACTATAGAGACTTGGTGTGGAGAGGGATGAGAAGACGAGACTCCTCCCTCTATAGGAAATATGACACTGATAGGTGTCCGGATTTTAAGGATTACCCTTGGTCAGACAGAGGAGACGTGAAAGCCGTGATGGAAGAGGTAAGAGAGATGAGGGAAATGATGAAGCGCCTAGCGAGACAGGTCACAGATATAGCAACGAAGGCGGAAGCGACAACCTGCCAAGACAAACCAGGGTCTCCCTATTCACATCGCTGGGATCGGAGTGAGCCTGGAGAGCGACGAGCAAACATCACAGACGATTCAGACCTGAGAGAGATGATCAAGGCCCTAACTCGACAAATCGCCTGGATAGAGGCGAAGATGGAGACTGGTGGGTATCAGGCGAGGAACGGTTCGTCGAACTTGCTGAGGTGCGATCGAGTTAGGACTGGTTCAGCGTACTCGCTGAAGTGGGATAATCGGGGGCCAGGATCGCGGAGACCCCTAGAGGATAGAAATCCTCAGACACTAACCGATTATCGATCGAGGGAGCAGAGGTATCATAGACGTTGTGACGACTCCCCTAGGTACCAGGACGAGGATCGAGATCGACAGACTGCCTATCATAGGGACTATGCGGGAGACAGGGATAACGGATATCGACGACACGGTCGGGTGGAAACTTACCCTCACAGCCCGATATACGATCCAGGTCGCGAAGACCTCCGGGATGCAGAGTAGTATCCTAAGGATGAAGATAGATATTACCATGCGATGACGAGAGACCGACGCTACAATTCCCGCGAGCGACACGAGAGGAGAGATGATCGAGACCATCGGGATGATGCGAGCGGCCAACAAGAGTCTAGGCCGCGTCCTCAGGACGCACATGTATCAGGCGAACACGAAGGATACAGACGTGTGGAGGCTCAACCTTCTTTTCCTCGTGGCAGATGCATGTATTATTGTTCCGATAACCATATCGGGAGAGATTGCCGTGATCTTCAGAAGGTAATTGACTATGGGGTAGTAGGATTTGACCGACTGTGCGTCACGAGAACCAAAGATCTGACAGATGCATAAGTATCTCCTCCGAAGAAGGAGTACTTGGAGGTCAAACGAGCGTCGTTGAACGAAGTAAAGGCGACGGTAAGGAGTCAGAGAGTCGGGATTTTCTTACAGTCAGGGGACAAGACGCCTGTAGTACCCATTCACGTCACCTCTATCAAATCATCGCAAGCTCTTTTTCAAAGAAGAGGGTTGGCCCAGATATAGTTATCATGGATCGAGAGGGAGAGGAAGAAGGACGGAGAGTACTATCACCACGAAAACGAGGCCCTGAGCAAGTTACTGATACAACAACGTCTTTAAGGCCAGCGCTTAATCAACGTATACGCTGCTCCGTACGGGAACCGTCCAAGCCGATACGGGACGGGCCCCTATATATCGCAGGTATCACAAAAGTACCCGTCACAAACACGATTCTTATCGGGCCCGAACGAGGTAAACCGGTAACATCGACCGATGAGATCTTTGTTAATTCTGACCCGTTAGCAGACAAGCCTTTTAGCAACGTCATACCGGTCGCACATCGGTCACGGCTTCGGGTAGAAGAGCGGACTGCACCGCGCCCGTTTTCTTTGATGCCTGAGAGAAAGTGCCTCAAAATATATTTAACATTCCTGGGAGTGGTTTCATGGGGACTCTTCTTAACAATGAGGTGGTTATTCACAGAGCAAAGGGTGACGCTGGGGATGGTCGAATGATTGCAGTGAGGAGAAGGGAAGCACCCTTCGAGTCAGGGACATGCTCTTTCGACAGATAGGTCGAGGCTCGACAGGGGCGTTGAGAAGAGGTCCGGGCTAGCTGTCGGGCGGCCAAATCCAGTCGGCCACCCGAAATAAAAGGAATTAGACCCTCAAACGAAAGCCCAATTGAGATTTTACCGATACTCTTGTTTGACCTGACCGGAAAAATTAGGGGTACCTAGAGCACCCCTAATTTTTGAGGTGCCGACCGTTGAGAGTAGTCCTCAAAATTGGCAAGAGGGACTACCGCTTCTACCGCGCTGATGCCCACCTCTTTTTCGTCCGCTAAGAGGCTATTTCCAAAATGGCTAGCCGTGGGATGGTAATATGGGAGTAGGCCTTGGCACGACTCTTCTACATCAGCCTATCGACGGGGAGATGGAGCCTCAAATTTTGTTAATTCCAATGACAGAATCAAAAATAAGAAGAAATAATTAAAAATAATAATAGAAGGAAAAAAAAAGGAATTTTCGCTATTTAATTGAATTCCCTCGGAATTCATTTTTGATAAAAATACATTTATTTTTATTATTTTCGATAATAGAATTAAAAAATAAGAAAAATAATTAAAAATGATAAAAGAAAAGAAAACCAACGATTATTTAATATTTGATAAAATTTTATTTGAGTCATTCGCGATCGGATTTATCCCGGTATTATTTACTTACCTCAATTCTGGCAATTCTTACAGTTTTCCGATTATTGCGGACCCTTGYGAGATTTACSTGATCTATCTGAATCCTACYCTTATTGCCACCTGTRTGTTATGAGTGAGTGCGGGATGGATGCTCGGCGCGGTATTACTGCTGGTGCTATTTTGGTTGTGCCGCTTAACTTTATCACTTCGGTATGGACACTGGATCGACTCCGACATGGCACTTTGGTTCGGGGCAGGTATGGCACAGGCCTTGGTGGTACTCGCGTGGTACATATTTGACACCATTCTCTGGTCACGACGACATGATTGGGCTACGACATGTGTTACGCGGTTCTGTTACATTTGGTATGGTTCATTCACGGCACGGTATGATGTTACGCTGATTCGAGACGGGGTCAGCACGTGCACGGTGACAATTTGGCATTCGTGTGGTACGGTACAATGGCACGTCTACAGTACGGTTGGTATGCTGCGCTGATCTGGTACGGCTCATGGGACACTGGTTCGGCTCATCCGTGGTATTGGAAGAACATGGTGTCCTCTGATGTGGTTATGCTGGTACGTTGCAGAGGGCGCAGTCCTTGTTGATCAGCGATTCTTAGATTGGTGCGGAGCACGAAATTGGTATTGTATGGTACCACCGCGTGGTACCCGGCAATGGACCGGGACAGGCTGCAGCTGTCGAAAATAAAAACTTCGGGGCTTTGACATATTATGGTCCAGATACGGTGGACCTACAAGTTCGGACTGCACTTGGCCTGGTCCGGCGCGCTGTTGTTATTTGGGGAGGCTAGCTCCCAAGGTATTATTCAAGAGCTACTCTACTGGGGGCGGTACATATTTCACCCCCGCGGGTCCTGGATCGGGCCTGCTGGTTTAAACCTCGGACCAGTCAAGGGAGCCGCGGGTCTGCTTGGCAAGTTTGAAGGTCTGGTACCTTCAGTGCCAGTTTTCGGTTGTGCGCAGGGCTGGTGTCGCGACCCGAAACCAATATAGGAAGAGTGGCAGAAGGACACTGGATTTTTCGGAAGGGAGAGACCAGGGCGAACTAGACATTCGGGACGCAGGCGACCAGGGGAAACTGGACATTTGGACAGCAGGGTGACCAGGGCGAAGGGGGGGGCGCACTAGAGCGGGCGACCAGTGTGACCAGGATGCGCTCCAACGGGGTGCACCAGGGGAAGCGACGGCAGGGAACGCAGCGAACGTACCTGTTCGTGGAGCGCAGTGGTTCCAAGTTGCTCATGGTCAACGGTAGCTATGGCAGCAGTGTCTGTGTGTGTAGGAGAGAGAGAGAGAGAGAGACTAAGTAGTGAGAGAGTGAGACACTGCGCAGTGTGTGAGCATGAGAGAGAGACTATGCAGTGTGAGAGAGAGGGACTGAGCAGCGCGAGAGAGAGGGACTGTGCAGAGTGAGAGAGAGGGACTGTGCAGTGTGAGAGATGAAGAGGGAGTGAGAGAATAAGTAAGGGATATTGAGAGAGAGTGCAGAGGGTGACATGTGTGAGAAAGGAGAAAACGGTGAGTGTTCATTATTATTATTATTATTATCATTGTCGTTTATTTTTACTATTGTGATTATCTTTTATATCTATCTTTCCACATGGCCAGAAACATCTCACCCGCTGATGGTGAAAATCTGCTTGTTGGGCGCACGGAAAATGGATGCTAGATGAAGAAGAAGAGTGTGCAGAGAGAGAGAGAGAGAGTGCAGTTAGAGAGAGAGTGTGTGCAGTGAGAGAGAGTGTGTGCACTGGGAGAGAGAGTGTGCAGTGAGTGAGAGAGATAGAGTGTGCAGTAAGAGAGAGAGAGAGTGTGTCGTGAGAGAGAGAGTGTGTGTGAGAGAGAGAGAGAGAGAGAGTAAGAGAGAGCAACAGGCAACACTGAGAGAGAGAGAGAGAGAGAGAGAGAGAGAGAGAGAGAGAGAGAGAGAGAGAGAGAGAGAGAGAGAGAGAGAGAGAG